GTCTCACTAAAGAATTACCTTTTATACAAAAGAGAGGCATAATAATAGCTAATAAATTGGATCACATAAATTCAGAGATTTCAAAAGCTGTAGGATATCATTGAACAACTGTTTCAAGATATCTTACAGCTTATAAATCAGGAAAACCTTTCAAAAAATGATCAGATCAATCATACTTAATCGATAATCAAGGAAGGTAAAGATTAAAGGCTAAAGTTCTCAAAAGCAAAGAAATAAGATGGAAAAATTTAGCAAATATTACTAAAATAATTTCTGCTAAAAAAAATAAACCAATCTTCAAAAGAACTATTCATTATACACTTTATAAGAAAAATGTGTCTTCTTATATTTCTTGAAAGAAACCTTTAATTTTAGTAATTAATAAGACTAAAAGGCTTGCATAGGCAATAAAAAGAAAAGATTAGATTATTAAAGATTGGAAAAAAATAGTCTAGATAGACGAATCTACTTTTTCTTAATTTCACGAATCTAGATGGAGACAAGTATGACAAAAGTCAGCGGAGTAATTTTATGAAGATTGTATTGTATCAACTGTAAAACATTCTTCTCAAAGGATGTTTTAGATATGTTTTTTCTTTTTAAAGTTAGAACCCATTATATCACTTAAAGGTTCAGTTACTAGAGAAATTTACAAAAGTGTTTTGCTACCTATGCAGTTCTAACATTTAAGGAATTTTTCTGAAAAACAAAAAAAAATTTATTTTTCAGAAAGACAATATACCAGTTTAAACTTCAAAGGTTGCATGAGATTTTTACTTCTTAAAAGATAGATTTACTTCTATAACCTGCTTAAAATCCTGATCTTAACCCAATTGAGAATATGTGGTCTATAGTTGAGGTAAAAATTCAAAAATACAATCCTCAATCTTCAAGTATTCCTGAGCTTAAAAAGATAGTAAAAGAAACGTAAGATGCGATATTGTAAAAAGAGTACCAAAACTTGATGTGATCAATGCCAAATAGAATTTAGGCTATGATGGATGCCAATGAAGAATATACTAAATATTAATGTCAGTTTTTGAAAAATAAAAAAAATTGTATGTTTCTGTAAAAATAAAAAATTATTAAAAAAATAAAAACGTGCAATATTTTGTCCCTTTCCTTCTAGTATGTGTTGTTAACATTACTCTTTTCATCAAATAAATTAACTATGATTTGAAGTCAAGGAGATAATAGCTATAACTTAAATCTAATCAACTTAACACGCTGTTTATTAGAGAGTTTATTTAGTTAATAAGAAATAAATTATAAGTTTTATGTTTACAAAATGTTAAGAGTATTTATTATTGTTATTAAATGTATATTGAATACAATGTTAAGAACTTGTTGGAATCTATTTTTTTTTTAAGGCATTTTTATGCTCTTTATATAGGAAAATTACAATTAAAGAAAATCTATGGTAAATATGATACTACTGATAATAATAACAGAGCTAATAGATATGCTAATTATGTTAAATATATTATAAATAATAATAATAATATAAATAATAGAAATAAAATAAATAGTATGTGTGTCCTATTTGGCAGATATAGCAGATATGGCATATATGTCATATTTGACAGGTTCATCAATTTTTGTCAGTTTCAGTATATAAACAAGTATAATTTATTTGCAATGGTAGATTTTTATAAAAGAGCATCAAAATATCTTTTTTTTAATTGCAAATCTGAAAGGAATTCTCTAATTATAACCTGTTGATAATTATTTTCTTTTGTATTTATCTTGTGTTTTTGATCTATCTTCTATTTTTTTTTTATTTTATTGTTGAAAATGAGCGTGTCATTATTTGATAAAGAAGTAAATTACAAATACTTTAAAAGAAAAATTATTTTTTTACTTTTAATAAAGATAATTTTATTTTAGAGTGACGAAATAATTTCTAATAGCATGATTGTGTTAGACAAATATAAAAACATTCGTAAAAATATAAAATTATCTATAAAATACTTTCACAATATACTTCATATCAGATTCGTTAACAGCATGTTGTCAATAAAATAATTAACCAATTATAATGAAATCACGTGGATGATACAGTATAATGATCTTTTAATCCAAAATTCTGAAAATACTGAGAATTCTGCGAATTCTGAAAATAAGAAGATCTGCGTAATTCCAAAGATCTTTTAAATATTGATAATAATTCTAATTTTATGAATTAAATGAAGTTTAAAAATATTTAGTATTATACTTATTTTTAATATTCTAAATTTTATTATTATTTTTATTATATTTTATATTTTTATTATTTTATGTATTTTTATTATTTCAATATATTTATTTTACTTATATTTTATTTTGCTAAATAAGTTAGTTTATAGCATAGTAATTAGCTAGTCGTGACAAAAGAAATTTTGTATAAATAGATAAACTTTTTGCTTATGTTGTAAATTTATTCTTTTACAGATTTGTAAACTCTTTTGCAAATACGAGTTTTAATATTAATAAAGAAATCAATTAAAACTTATATCTTTCTGCCTCTTCGTGTCTTCATATAGTCTGATGTAATTCCTATACATTATTATAATTGAATTCGACATCTGAATTTTTTAATTAAATTGTTCATAATCTCTTCTTTCAAGTCTTCATACTTGATAGATTTGTTTAAATCTAACGCGTAAATTTGATAAAGTTAAGAATTAGGCAGATCCTAACATCTTAACTGCAGTAGACTGCAATTAGAAATTTCAAGTAGAGACTTGATAACATGACTACCCAAGTTGAAGAATTCCACAGTGACAATATTAATAAATCACTAAATATATTTTCTTTATGCTATATTTTCATTAAATCACTAATTATTATCATGAAATTTAGTTATTTTAATATCTAAATAAGCATCATAAGTAAATTTAGCTTTTTATATTATTGTTTAAATTAATTTTTGTTAAATTTGCATCCTTTCTTGAATTAGTATAAATGAATCCTTTAGGAAATGAAGAAAGGTGTTTGTTATCAGATGGATTATAACAAATCAAAAACAAAATGATACCATACATTGGAAGATATTGATTCTGGATTTAAAAGTAAAATTTGGTTTGTTGAGGTCTGAAAATACAGTCAAGAATTTCTTTTATTCAAGAATGAAACAACTTTCTTGATCTAGGGCAATCAAAATGTACCTTCAGCCCAAACTGTAGTACCCTTTAATAATAGTGTTTTGTCTCATCCTTTTAAACTGTTGCAATGGAACCTAATTTTCAACTTATTCTCAAATAAATGAACTGTATAGAATGGTCCCTCATTTTTAATTTGCTTCAATTTAAATGAAATGCTTTTTCCATACATTTTTATGCCTTTTTTAAATTTCCTTCTCTGATTTTTCATTTATATAATTTACCCCCAATTTATTGTTAATCATGTGTTTAAACATTTTACTATTCTCATTCTTATAATTTATCCCACCCTTTTTTCTCTTATTAAAATTTTATTATTTTCATTCTTAAAGTTTATCCCACCTCTTTTTCTCTTTTATAATTTTCTTTTTTACTATTTTCTTTATCAAAATCATTGATTGTTTTACCTAAATGATGAACCATTTAAGATAATGACATCATGTAGTAGCACAATAAATTTCACGTGATATTTTATTTCTTTTTAAAGTATTTTTTTTTTTTGTTACGTTTTTAAATTTAGTAAACATTTATACGGCCTATAAGAAAGTTGTCTTTATTGTTTATTTAAAAAAAGCTCAACATCGTTTGATTAATTTATAAAAACAAAAAGCAAAACCACTTTTGAAAGTTGACAAACATTTAATCCATTATATCAATTTAAAAAGTTACCAACTTTATCAATATATTTTAAAACAACCTAATTTAATATTTTGTGTATTGCTATTTTTTAAGGAAAAAATGTCGATCAATAAATTCCGGGGCATCATAAAAATATTTCTTAAATTTTAAAATATTATTCTAAAAAAATCCTCATACCAGCACGCTATCAAAGTAATTTCGTTCAGCCAATAAAATCAATAAGAATTGTATTATTAAAATTTTTGATCGCGTCTTATGTATGAAATATATATACATAAACATTTTATGTTATGTGTATTTCGACCTCCCTGCAATTTTTAATATTATTTTGATCCTTATATAAAAAAACTAGAAGTCGCCCTATATAATATAGTGAATTCCTATATGACATTCTATTTTAAGACCGCTTGGAGCGTTGATTTTCAGACGCATTTTGGGAGGTGGGACTAATTGAAACCGGTGAATGTCTAATAACTTAGCAAGCGACATAATCACTAATCGACAAGTTTTCATTGCATTCATTCTCTCCATCCAAATAATGGTTTCCTAGTTAGGCAAAAATTTTACTATGTCGTCAAATCGATTGACAAAAAAAATATCAAGAGATGTCCCGTTTCAAGAAAGCATAAAATTATTCCAAAAGAGAACTTGTCCATGCAAAATTGACTTTACTTGATCGTACGCTCTTATTATTTCGGGATTCAAATGATTTCTATATCCTAAACTATTGACCTTTCAATATAACCGTTCTTTTCCTTGAAAAGTCGCATTATATCCTTTTGGTGTTAATTTAGTATGAACTATTAAAAAAAGTAATCAAGAAGTTTATTAATTAAGTTCATATAAATTTTCTGCGAACCTACAGAAACTTACCAATGTCAATATTTTTGAAGTTCTGAGAATCGCGTTACTAAATCCTAAAACCTTTTGCTTTAATTTTTTAAATGCATCACAACCAGATTTGCGGTATTAATTACCTTTATTAGTCATCTTTCTCCTTATGTCTTTTGATTATAACTTAATATGTTTCTAAGTTCATATAAATCACACAGTATACCATATTTGCTTGTGATGGGATGGATAATTATTCATCTATATGGATAAAATTAGAATCGGTATTTTTGAATTAATTCGACTACTTTATGAATATTTGTAATTACCTTCAAATTCATGCGATAATCTCGGATTAATTCTAGGATTGTGGTATTATCTGGCTCCAGTTCAAGCCCCAGCCAAAATTTGCGATAACAGATTCTTGTTATTGGAGTTAATCGAATATTGTACGGTAATAAATAAGTAAAATGAGTGATTGTTAATATCCAAGTCAATCCTTTTACCAGACCTATTAGTATAATTAATACAAATTCCGATTTCAAACATACCAAGATTTCACTTGTAGCATAGGCTCATAATTAGACGGTGGATATTGAACAGAACTTGCGATAGTGCATCCTGAAAATAAGTCATCTTCTATATTTATTCCGAAATTTTAGCCTTTAATTCTTCATAGCCTTTGATTCGTCAATTATTTACCAAAAACTTCTAAATCACTGCGAATATGTTATTGTACGCGTACGAGCGTTAATAATTGAACAATTAAATGTAAAGCTACTTATTCTAATTTTCATTTAAATTGTTATTCTTCCATCATTATCGAGAACCGATAACCATAGCTTGTTAGGTGATTGCCAGTAACTAATTTTACAAATCTATTTTAGATGATGTATGAAATTTACTGTGCTAATGGTAATTAATTAAAAATATTGGTTTTACGTCACTTCTCAAATTTTCTTTCGTTTGATTTTGAGTGAGCAATTTTAACATAGATGTAACGGAATCAGTGGTAGATAAGTTACACAGTATTTTCCGCAATTGTGTTAAACCGAGAACATACATATATAATAATAAACCAGGGAACAGAAACCGTTCTGGTCTAATTTTGGATAACATGGCTAACAATTAAATAAGCTTATTTATACAAATCCACAAATTTCATTCGTCGATCAGGTTATAGTAAAGAACGACATTGCAAATGCTTAGAAGTATAAGGTCCTCCGCTATGCTTCGGACAATCATAATGTAAAAACAATTAACTATTACAACTTCAATAGCATAATTTGGCTGATTTCACAAAAACAAACAATGAAATAGAACTGCAACCCGTCACAATTTCTAAATCCGTTTATCCGATTCCTTAACGGTGTTAGACCCGGAATTGAACCGAACCAAGTTAACAAACTAAATAACTTAAAAACTCAATTATCTCGATTAACAAACAAAACAATCGATTCACTTGTGTAGTAAGTTATCATGATCAAATGCTGATATGAAGACAAGAAGAAGGTTGAAAGTGTAAATAGTAACTTATTAATCTGTAGAGTTATAATTCTAATCCCAAGACTTATCTCAATCTCTGAGTAAAACTTTGTTGATTCAAAGTCAACTTTCAGGTCTATTTATATAAAATTGCTAACTGTTATTATGCTACGCCTTTCAATAATAATAAGTAATACATAAAATGAAATTAAATAAAATAATACAAGTAATGAAAGATAAACTATATAATATATATAATGAAAAAGAAAATTATTCGATACATGCCAAAGTAATTCAAACGTAACATATATCACGTGTTACATGATTAACATGTATTACTGCCGCAGTGTGAGGTCATCTAAATCTCAAATCCAGGAAAGCTATGTTGTAACCCAAATGCGCATTTTTGGTTACAACAGCTATAAAAAGGTAACACTGATTATTGATAATCGATGGCTTAGAAATTTAACGTTACATGATTTACCAAGTGCATCTTTTTTTTCTTGCATCTTTTTATTTTTTTTTACCAAGAATTTTTACCATTCCATTTTACAAAAAAATACAAAAATATCAAAATGCAAAGCTGACAATAATTCAAATGGGTGGATTAATTTGATAGAGGAATATATTTTAAGAAACACTATCAAATGTTACGAATACAAACATTTTAGCAATGTTCAAGAGATCGGTGCTGGCAGCTTTGGAAAAGTCTATCGCGCAAATTGGAAAAGTTCAAAAATACCATTCGCGTTAAAGTCCTTTCATAACCTTAACAACGCCACTGTTAAAGAAATAATTCGTGAGGTATTTACTAATTATAAAATGTGTTTCGGTCTTTTTCAGTCTGTTTTATATATCAAATTAAATTTTATTTTTAGCTCGAACTTCAAAGCGAAGTCGATTTTCATGATAATATTATTCGCTTTTGTGGAATAACTTCAAAA